CCCTATAACGGTGTTGTCCCATTTCCACTGAAGGAACTGCCTCGTCGGAAGACGACCGTTTGAAAATTCCGAAGCATGCCAAAACACTGTTCTCGGGATTCCAACGCCACGGATCAAACTGACTGTTGCGTCTTAACGAGCCTGAATCGTGCCCAAACCCCATTCCTGGGACTCCAAAGCCGCGAATCAGCGTTCCTGTTTCACCAGCAAAGGCTGGAAGCTTTTTTAAACACCATTTCTAGTACGTTGATCATTGGACTTTGCGGCGCAAAATTGTATAAACGAATGTGCGGTGCGCTAAGGCGCACTCAATCCGCCCTCAATCCGTGACACTCGCTAAACTGAGAACCGCATTTTGACAACCACCCGCCCTGACTCCGTGAAGCTCTGGCAACTTTGTAAAACCGAATGCGCGCGGCGCAAAGGCGAGAACCGCATGTTGAAAAGGGACCGCCTTCAATTCGTGAAATTGTTTGCAAGTTTCTAGAAACGAATGTGCGCGGCGCTAGGGCTGTAGCCACATTTTGAAAACCACACGCCCTCCATCTGTGAAACTGTTGCCAATGTTTGAGTTTCGCTGACATAGATGGTGATGAAGTCTCAAGCGAAACGCCCGGTCCGCCCTAAAAACTGGCCTCGGGGTGCGACAGGGGAAAATTGATACAAGGAAAAAGACAAGGAAGAGGAGGAGGAGGAGGGGGAGGAGGAGGAAGAGGAGGAGGAGGAGGAGGACGGGGATGAGGAAGAGGAACATGAGGAGGAGGAGGAGGAGGAGGAGGAGGAGGAGGAGGGAGAGGAGGAGGATAAGGATGAGGATGAGGAGGACGAGGAAGACGAGGAAGAGGAGAGGGGAGTGGATTGGAGTGGGGTGGAATGTAGTGGAATGGGCCCCGTTGTGCAATCTATGTTGCGCAATACTTGTGGAGCCATTCGTGTGGTGCAACCGACGTGGTGCAGCCCATGTTGTGCAATATCTGGTGTGCAACATTTGTGGTGCAATCGACGTGGAAAAATCAAAGTTGTGCGCAATTTGTGTGGTGCCATCCGTGTGGCGCAAAATACGTGGGGCGATATATGTTGTGTAACCTATGTTGTGTAATGTGTGTGGTGGATTATGTATGGCGCAATCGACGTGGTGAAATGTCCGTGGTGCAACCTATGCTGTGCAGTATTCGTGGGGCAACCTACGTGGTGTAACTTATGTGGTGTAACACACCAGTGATCAACGGGAAGTTGTCCACGCCACTGCTCGCGCAAACATCCCACCTTCACTCGCAACTTGGTTTGCAAACCCCATGCGGCCGCGATGGCGATGAGTTCTTTGCGCAGGCTGGTGCATATCCGCGGCCAGCTACTCCGGCGCGACCGACGCAGCCGCAGCGGCGCTGACCGTTGCGCACATCCCAGCGGGCACTTCAGTGCGAGCTGGCGACTTGGGCGGATGCGGTATCATGACAATGTCGACAACGGTAGACACGGTGATGCTGGTGGCGATGCGGGTGACGATGCTGAGAGCGACGGCGGCACGGCCAGTGACGGCGCAAATGCTGATCGCGCCGACGAAGATGACGGCGTCCTCGCGTCGGCGAAAAAAATTGGAACGAGTTCGACATGCGCGCGCGGCCGACGCGCGAGAGTGGCTCGCATGGTCTTCTGTGACAAGGGTCGTGCCCCCCAACACGCGCACAAGGGCGTGCGAACGATGTCGGCATGCGGCGTCAGAAGCCCGCCCGATTGGCAGTATTCTATGAACATGTTGACTACGGATGGATTGCTTGAGTAGTCACAAGAGCCCGAGCGCACGCTTCTTTTTTTGAAATTGCCAGGTGTTTTATATGATTTTGGGCACTCGGTTTTTAAATCGCAACTGATGCGTTTTTCCCCCCCCTTTTTCACGGGTCTCGGCATGCGCGCGCGACGACGCGCGCGCGCACGTCGTCACATTTGTCGCAACAGATTCTCGCAACGGCACGCGCGCGAGGGCGTTCGAACGATTTCGCCAGGCGCGCGCGAAGTCCGTATGGTAGCATGTTCTGGAAATTTTGAATATCTGGTGGCTTTCTTGAAGAATTCGCAGGAACACGCGCGCAATTTGTTTTGGAAATCCGTGTTGCGAAACCCGTTTTTGAACCGATTTTTCATATTATGAAAACGTTGCTTGAACGTTCGATTTGGAAATCTCTACGAAACCGAAAATTTTCGAATGATTCCGGCATGCTCGGGCGACGACGCGCGCGCGTGCACTTCGTCCGCTTTGTTGCAAAACGTCTGGGAAACCGGATGGTTCAACGAGTGCGCGCGCATTGCATTTTTTGCAGAGAGGATGGCGGACACGGGCCCCCCTGGGACTGTGAAAATTCAAATTTAGGATTGATGGTGGGGCAGATTCGCATGGAAATTGCTGCACGAAGAAGGGATGTGAATATCCCGGGGGGGGGCATTCCCTTTTTAGAACGAAAAACTGACTTTAACAAACGAACTGACACATTCCATCCTCTTGCAAACACCCCACCCACCCAACCACAACTTGATTTGCAAAACCCATGCGGTGGCGATTGCGATGCATGCTTGGCGTTGGCTGGTGCATCTCTGCGGCCGCGCCAGGCCAAGCACGCGCGCGCAACGGCCAGCTACTTTTGGCGCCGGCGCAGAGGCTGATCGCGCCGACGACGATGACGGCGTCCTCGCGTCGGTGATGAAGATTTCGGCACGAGTTCGACATGTGCGCGCGGCCGACGCGCGAGAGTGGCCCGCATGGTATTATTTGACAAGGGTCGCGCCCCCCCCCCAGCGCGCAGAAGAGCGTGCGAACGATGTCGGCACGCGGCGCCAAAAGGCCAGCTTGGCAGACTTTGATGGCAATTTTGCGAAATCGGTTGTTCCCCAAACAAAAAACCGCCAGAGCGACAGCGCATGCGGTTTTGAAATTTGATGTTTCGAAACCTTGTGTTGTTTTATATGTTATTGTTTTTGACACTCGCGCGCGAGGGCTCGCGCGCGAGGGCGTTCGAACGATTTCGGCATGCGCGCGCGCGAAGCCCTCTTGGCAGCATGTTCTGAACAATTCGTTTTCTGAAGAATTCGCGGGAGCGCGCGCGCAAGCGTTTTTTTGAAAACCCGCGTTGCGAATCCACTTGTTGTATTTTTTTCTTGGACACTCGATTTTGAAATCCTTCCGACTACGGGTGTGAGAATGATCCTGGCATGCGCGCGCGACGACGCGCGCCCGTGCACCTCGTACCATCTCTTGCAACAACATTTTTTGAAAACTGGTGATGGTTCATAAACGAACGCGCGCACATGCAATTTTTAAGAGAGAGAAAAAAGCGGGGGGGCAGATACCATCGCCCCGGGGCGGTTGGAATTCATATTTAAGATGGACGGTGGGGCAGAATCATACGTCAAGCGCAATACGAAAAAGGGGGGTTGATAATCTTGGGGGGGGGAGGGCCGAGTCTATTTTCTTGTTACAGCGGAGGATTCGGAAGGAAAATTCACCAATGCTCGCAGTGAGTTGTCAACTCCACTGCTCGCGCAATCATCCAACCCACCCACCCGCAAGTTGGTTTACAGACATCACGCGGTGGCGATTGCGATGCATGCTTGGCGTTGGCGGGTGCATCTCTGCGGCCGCGCTAGCCCGCGCATGCTCGTGCGCGCAGCGGCCAGCTAATGCGGCACGACCGACGCGGCCGCTGGGTACATCCCAGCGGGCACTCCGGTGCGAGTCGGTGACTTGGGTGGGCGTGGTATCATGGCGACCCCGACGACGGTAAACACGATGACGAAAGCAGGCGGCGATGAAGACGGCAAGGCCCATGACGGCGCCGATGTTGATCACGCCCATCGGTAACGATGGCGATGTCCTCGCATCGGTGATGAAGGTTTTGGAACGAGTTCGACATGCGCGCGAAGCCGACGCGCGCGAGTCGCCCGCGTGGTATTATTGGACACGGATCGTGACCCCCCCACGCACGCGCGCAAGGGCGTTCGGATGAGGTCGACATGCGGCGCGAGGGGCACGTTTGGCAGACTGTCGTGGCAATGTTGGGAAACCGATGGTTTTCGGAAAAAGCCTCATGAGTGCGAGGCCAATTTTTTTACACACCACCACCGCCCACAACAGTAAGTTACCGCAAAAAGGGTTAGGGGCAGGGTCATGCCAGACGACGCTGCGACGCCACGGCGAAAAGGAGCGTGGCGCAGCTCGCAGGCGCCGTGGCATGGGGAGTTTCTGAAGCAGAAACAGCACTTCTTGGTGGCGGTGTATAAGAATCGCTCCTCCTGGTAACCAAAATTTAAAAGACCACCACCGCGCGTGCTTTGATGAATGCTGTTTCGGTCCTTAAGAGAGAGGGGCGGCCAGGTTGCCGTTGGCGGCGGGAGGGGGGCTACGGGCTATTCACCCGAGCAAAACTGCACGAAATCGCATCGTAGATTATTCTCGATCTTGGTGGTGGTAGTCATATACATTGCTCGGAATGAGCGCATGCCCAGGGTTGCTTGGGAAGTGATATCACAACCAAGTGTTTCAAACATGTGTTCGGGTGGCTTCGTTTTGAAATCCTCACGGGAACTACAAGTTTGCTTTGCAAGGTTTCGGCATGCGCGCGCGACGACGCGCGCGCGTGCGCACGTCGTCTCATTTTTGCAGGAGGGGTCTCGAAAACGGATGATGTCGATAAAGGAGCGCGCGTGCGTTTGTTGCAGAGGATGAAAAGGGGGATGGGATGATCTGAATTCGCATTTTGGATGGACGATGGGGCAACTACATCTGTAAATTGCAATACGAAAGAGGGGGCCAACTACATCCGGCAGCGGGGCGGCGACGGCGACCATGGAGCCGCCAGACCGCCACCCAGGCCCAGACAACGGGCGGCGACGAAGCGGCGGGGGCGGCGACGGCAACCACGGAGCCGCGAGACCACCACCCAAGTTCAGACGACGGGCGGCGACGAGGCAGCGACGGGGCGGCGACGGGGCGGCGACGGCGTCCACGGAGCCGCCAAACCGTCAGCCAAGCCCAGACGACGGGCGGCGACAGGGCGGCGACGGGGCAGCGACGGCGGCCGCGGAGCCGCCAGATCGCCAGACGGGCCCAAAAGACGGGCGGCGATGAGGCGGCGCCGGGGTGGCAACGGCGACCACGCAGCCGCCGGACCGCCAGACGTGTCCAGTTCGTGATGGCTAACAGAAGAAGAGAGACCTCAGGTGCAAGCAAGCATCGATAGGGAAAAAATGTTGCATCCTGATGTTCGAACCCTGGACCTTGGGGTCCTTCTCCCTCCTCTCTGCCCTCTTCCCCCCTGCAGGGCCTGGAAGCCAGCGAGGCCTGGCGGGGCCAGGAAGTTCGGGCGCACTGGCTGCTGCTGCTGCTGCTGCTGCTGCTGCTGGTGCAAGCCCGGGTGCTGCTGCTGCGGCTTCGGCGGCTGCGCCTGCAAGTGGCAGGGCTGCGCCGCAGCCGTTGCCGCCGTCGTCGTCCTCGTCGACGTCGTTGCCGTCGTAGTCGTTGCCGTCCCCGGTGTCGTACCGACAAGATGTTCAAAATGCTCTGGATCATCGTCGTCCTCTCGACGCCTGGCGACAGGCATTTCTGAACCGACAGGCCTGTTCAAAGCCAAGCCAAAGCGGAGGCGCCATCCCAGACGCGAGACTGGCAGCACGAATCCTGCGCAGGCTCGCACACCACGTTTCACTTCACACAACCTGCTGCTGAGGGTTGCGTGGCGGCGTCGTTCTCGTCGTCCTGATCGCCGCCCTAAGCGTCATCATGATCGTCGTCCTCGGCAACGTCGTCCTCGTCCTCCTCAGCATCGTCCTCGTCATCAACATCGCCATCGACATCAATGCCTTGAATCCTCCCCGCCTGAACCTCCCGGCCCTTCTCCGCCTGGCCTCCCGCCTGTGTTGTGTTTTACGCATACATCAGGCGATGCCTTTTATAACTCCTCTCCCTCCTGCGCAGCCCCTGCAGGAGAGACATCTGTGGCGATCATCCACTGGCATCTACATGTTCCCCTGCTTTGTCCATATAATTTTCCTGAATCCCCTCCTCCGCCAACCCCTACTCCTCCGCCACCTCTAAATCCTCCTCCTTATTCGTATCATCCCATTCGTCCTTATATTGCTGCTCCTCCTACCCCTTCGTGTCCTCCTCTTCTTTGGCATCCTCCCTCGCCTCCTCCCCTGCCTCCACCTACATCTCCCGTCTCCATCGCCTTACCGTCCTGGTCCGCCGACGGAAATTGCTTTGCCTGCTCCAACTTCTTCTCCCCCGCCGTCTCCTCATCCTCCTGCTCAACCCCTTTGCTTCGAAACTTCCTATTCGTCCGCGGCTCACGCTGCGGAACATCCGCGACCACACTTCTCGGCACGATCCGGCTGCATCGGCTTTCGAGCCAAGTCGGTGCGTGGGGGCTCTGCGGCCCCGAGGCCCGAAATGCAGCAAGAGACACGAGCCGCGAGCTCTTCGGGACACCCTGATGCGCAGATCCGCCGAAAGATGTCCGAAGCTTCGCCTTCTCGAGACAATTGCCCAGACCCTCCCAGGTAACGTCACGAGCTGGTTGCGCAGACGCGTCCACCGGTCGTGACGACGAGGGCCCTTCCCCGAACGCCGACATAAAGAAGGCCTCGCCCCGATCGACATCTTGCCGCTGCTTGGGAGAGGCCACGGGGCGCCCGGCGAAAGTCAGACTCCACGTCTTGTGGACATGCGTGCCGCGTAAACGCTCGCACGGCGGCCAGCACTGACACACAGGGAAGCACGACTGATTGGGAAGATGGGATGTGCGGTGCACGAGCCGCATGGCGGCCAACAGGGCTGAACCTAAATGGTGTTTTTCGTTTTCGTTTTGTTGTTGTTGTCCCTCGTTTTGTCTCCAATCCACCTCCACCGCAAAACGAAGTCGAAACGAAAACGGCCCACGATATCGCCAAAACACCGTTTAGGTCCAGCCCTGGCGCCCAAAGTGATGGACGGGGGAGGAGGCGGAGGAAGGACGGGAGGGGTAGAGGGGGAGGAGGAGAGATGCTGCGGTTCCTGGGTGTGTCAGCCAAGAAAGGAGGCCAGGGAAAACCCAGGATGCGCCGACGAAGCTGCAGCACACCCTCCCGCCCCATGCCGCCTCAGAACGGGAAGCGCCCCCCTTGACCTACGAGTGCCCCGTGCGCCTGCCTTTCGGGCGAACGCCTCGTGCTGAACAGCATGCTCCATGAATCCTTGACCAGAATCGGAGAACGGGGGATACGTGATACCATGACCATGCAGTTCAAAGGGGCTTCCAGCGAGAGCTCCTTTTTGAACCAGATCCGCCACCCATCCCTACAGACGAGGGCACGGAACCACCTCTCACCCGCACACCTTTTGCACTCTTGAATTTCTGCTCATACGCCTGCGAAGAGAGGGCCACCGACCCGCGAACACACATGTAGCCGCTGGAATCGTTGCACACGCAAGATCAAACGCTCATACGATGCTCACAATTTGAAAACGGCCCG